CTGATCATTTCCACGACCAGATGAGCAGTCAGCGATCAACGATCAACCCGGCAGGTCGACAAAGTTGTCGCCCGGTGAGTACGAATGTGACAAACCGAAAGAGTTGTGATCAGCAGACAGATTTGTGCGCATCGAATCCACTGTAGTAGAAACAGCGCCCTTAAGCGTGATAATAGACGTCGCAACGAAACGAAAAGACAAAATCCCGGTTGAACTGAACCAGTTAAATGTTAGAGGCGACCATATGATCGTTAAGACCCCGCAGACTGGTATGTTCCGAATTGACATCATCCGCCGTCGATCAAAGTTCGTCCGCGACCGACACCGAAGAATCAGCGTTCATGGCCGCAATATTGCCGAAAGCGCATGTCAAATAATAACAATCATACAAAACAATAGCCAAGAACATTGTCAGTAAGTAAACTACGGATATGCACAAAACGATATGGATGCAAACGTAAATGAAGCGTCCTCGTCAACAAAGTCCTTGATAATTCATCAAATACACGCATCCCAGACCGGTCGATCATAGCTTAACCGATATCAATTTTACGCGATTAAGCGAATCATCAGCGTCAATATCTTGGCAAGAAAGCATGATCGAACTAAGCCGGCGGCAATCAACATCAGCCGACGGTCATTGGTCATCAAACAAAATCATCGCGCTCAACCCGACGCTATGCCTGAACAACGGTCATTTAACGTTACGAAAACGAAAGTCGCCAGCCGATGGTCCATCGTCAGCAGATTGCCACCCAGGTTCACGTTCGATTCAACAACCACGACCAGCAGACCGTCGCCAGAACCGTTCATCCGTCACCGACAAACCGCCACAAAACGTCATCGTACGAGCATTACACGTTATTGACGACGTCACGCTATTCATAAGCTACACCGTCAGTTTATAAAGACGGCGAGACCACACCCGTGATTAATTCGTTGTCAACCGCACGCGAGCATTAACACCAGAAAAATTATATACCGAACAGCGCTCATAATATTGGTTTGCCGATATTAACGCGATTCATATAGAACAAGCCGGGCATTTAACGTGAGTCGGAATTCCCAGATTATCACATCTTTCAAAGCCCGGGATTCCCATCATCATCATGTTCACGTCAATATCAATGGGGACGACATTTGCCTGTTCGCATACCTGAAATACCAGCTTGACACGATTCAGCAGTTCGCCTTCATCAAAGATTCAGTACATACCAGTATTTCACCAGCAATGAGCAATTGTTTTCTGGTATCGGTCATCTATCGCTGACCCTGAGTATTGGCAACGCCGGTCCGTTGAAATATCGAAATTTACTGGTGAATCACGAACAGCCTTTTGGCATCCGACGATCCTTCTGACTTCTAACCGAACACAGTGGTCGTTGTTTGCCAACATCGGTTTCTTCGTCAAAGGAAAGTTGGTCGTCTTTTACACCGGGCGCATTGATGAATTGGCAACATAAAAACGCACTCAAAGTCGCACGATTCGAAGGATGCACGATCTCTCGAGCACCATGTTTCCAGCAATATGACTAGTGCACCGACAGACACACCTATGGCGTCCTTTCACAAAGAGACTGTACAGTTAGCAGTTTAATTATCCAGCACAGTTCAACGAGAACATGCAGATGTTGAATTGCTCCATCAAAGTTCAGGAGGAGTTGCTTCAACAAAATATTTCTGCTGCCAGATATTGACTTTTCCGGGATCTGCCGAGCAGGTTATCTGCTTCCAGATTCGAAATAGTCGGGATCTGCTTTTCCATAGCGAAGTATCCGCTTAAACAAACAGATATCTGGTCGCAATGCCATCAAAAACGTAATATGGTGGTTGAGGCTGGGGTTTTTGTGGAAATCATCGAAGCGGCTGGCTGACGGAAGACCTGAGCGACATGGTTTACGTTAAATCATTGAGAATGGTCACAGCCCATAAACATCCTTCCACAGCACCAGAGCCTCGACACAAAATATCTTCCGTTATAGCATCCCGGTCGATTATTGGTTCGGTATTATTACGAAGCAAACCTCAAACTCCCGTGAAAACACCTGTCAAACGACTTCGTTCACTGGTCCCCAGCCGATTACGTCTGTTATTATCTTTAGCCTTCGAAATTGTCGTCCCAGTCCAGCGCGGGTTCGTGCTGAGCGACGGGTTCAAGTTGGGAACCATTATTTCTGTCATCAACTTTCTATCTTTTCACGCTGTGAATGAACGTAACATGTATATACCGAATGAAAACAACATACCGGGTCATTAACCGACCAAACAGCTTTGTGACCGTACCACTATCTGAGCGACGTGCCATCACGCTGGGGCGCAGGCCAAGTGCCGTTTATTCAGTGCAGCGAGTGCCGTGACGACCGCATCCGGGCAAATCCAGCAAGACGTCCTCGCGCACCAAACCCACGAATGCTGTGTCGTCGAAGCGAATACGCAACATCTAAAGCCGGCAATGCAAAACTTCGACTGCTAACAAGATTTCAACGTTAATATCGTCAAAAGCCTAAGAAGAAAGTGGCAGAAACAAGAAAGCACACCGGTTGCGTCAATTCCAAATCAACATCGCAGAAAGCTCGTTCATCAACCAAACAATAATAAAGTCTCCATAACCAAATCGGTCCAATAACCCGCAGGATCAAACCTCATCAACGACTGAAAGAACCAGTATCGGTCCTCGATTTCATCATAGAACGTTCATCTATCACCATCGTCAAAATAAAATAAATAGCAACAAGTTTAAACCGCCGATATACCGCAAAGCGGAGTTCAATGTTCCAGTTAGTGCGGGCAGATTTTATCATTGACCGTGACCGGCCAATCATAACTTCACGTACGTCCATTTCAACACTATCTTCCGATGCCAACCATCACCACAAAACCAAACGCCATGATATCGCTAATCAAATTGCCATCATCGTTCATTGACACAATCTTCCACCACGCAATTGTAATACCGGTCCACACCTCAATGCAGTATGAGTCGCCCACGATTATTCCGTAGCGATGAACCAGGCAGAACATTTAGCTCAGCCAACTCTTCAAATAAGAAATCGGTTTATCATTGAATTATGGTCACCAATAGATGAAGTCGCCAGGGCACGTGTCATAAGGTTGGACAGGAACAACCCCGATCGTTAGCAGCGATCACTGGTCATCATCCAATACAGTCAACATCATAGCATTTTGGCCAGTAATAATAGTACGATAGAGCTCAATTAGATTGTATAAATGGGAGAGCGAAGACGCAAGGACTCATCACCGACAGCAGGCCAGACAGCGACCGCCAACTCAACGGGGACAGGGTATTCGAAGAGAGCGTAGAAGGTCGTGACAGTGGTTCTGAATAAGTAGATTAGGTACCATAGTGACATCTGGTCAGAGAATATCCGCGATCAGACGCAATACGCATCCAAGACGCCAGCTGCGACTATAGTTCCCATACTAAAGGAACTTCACCAGATTGATATCATTATCTGTTCACAGACCGATTAATCAGTAAATTATTGCCGCATTAGAGCGTATCAATAATAATCATCATGTAACATAGCAGAACAGGAGTTGCATGCAAATCATGGATATGGCGAACGTTTGTCCGTCCTTAATATCATTAAATATACGAAATGGACGAACCGGCGAATTGGCTCCATCATAACGAACCGATTTGCCATTCATTAACGACGTGATTAACCATTTCAGTCATTCGAAATACGGTAATAGTATCATCATTGGTATTGGTAGTGAATCAACGATAGTTTGATGGTCATTGGTCATTCAACATATCGTAGCTTAACCCATCAACACAGAGTCGAATAATAACGTTGAAAATCTAAAGTTTTCGCCGACGACGGTATTCATTGCCGTAGTATATAGTCACGTACCCGATTGACCGTTCACGTTCATAGTGACCGTATCAAAAGAAATCAATTCATCATTATATTAAAAATCGTTACCGTACAGATAAAGACGACGTTAGTTGACAACGCCTTCGGTCACATGAAACATTTGACACCGAAGTCAAAGTTATAGACACCTTATAATTTCATCTTCACCGCAATTATTTCAGCCGTTTTTTCACCAGAAAAAAATTACATACTGAATAGCGTTTATAATATTATGCAGTTGATATAACGATTAGAATAAAGCCGGCGAGTCGAATTGTACGGTATTTGCTTCGTATTCAACATCGTCACGTTCAATAAGTCAATAGTCATTGAATGTGATTTATCATTCTGCGCCACCAAAATACTGATGGATTAATGATCATGAATCAAAATCATTCCGTATGTAATCAAGATTGCGCGCGACAGAAATGACGTATTAGCGGAAAAATCATTGTCCAATGTTATTCCCGAAGTATAACTCGTCGAAACATCGAAATGGTTACCGTGAACAATAGAATCACTTCCGCAGACCGACGATCCTTCGATCCAACCAGCGGTTTTCCTCGTCAAAAGCGATTAGTTGAACATTCAGCACGTTAAATGATATATCGACGAAAAGCGTTTCCGGCCAAATCGATGTTCGTTCCGTGAGTGAATCGATGATGCGCACGATCCATCAACCTTTATTATTCAGTTCGCGTCACGACGAAAGTTCTCGATTATCGTCACCCGATGGTCCTTCGGCCAAGATCCGCAGTAGTTAATAAAGCAGCCTAGTCCATCCACCTAGTCCATCGTCAACTATAACCAACAGTGGTAACGCACGCCAAGTTGAATCGGTTCAAAGTCTAGCGTACCAACAGTGTCGGCCGATTATCGATTCCGACCACGCGAAATATCAGCTTCCAGATCTCAAAAGCAACGGGGATCAACGGAAGATGCTCATGGCGCAGCATAAATAACGTTATCGAAAAACGCCATCGCGCCATAGCCGAAGCAATAATCATCATTAATCGACGAATGTCAAGACGCCGAACAACGCCGATTTAACGGACGTTATGTCATACGATTCATCAATAGTATTAAACCTGAGCCCACAAATGGCCTTTCCTTCGCGAGTTGTCAACGATTGTTGGTTTACTCCGTACTGCGGGGAAGAGCGAACTCCCGTGAAAACAAACATAATAAACTATCATCTTCTTAAACACTGGTCTCAAATTGGTACGATCATTAAAGATCCACAGTTAAACTATTCGATTTTGTAGTGTCATTATCAAACCTGTCCAAGGTATTGGTTCAGTCAATATATAGTGCGAACAAGCTTGAGTTTATCATGCCGAAGTGGCTGACGTTAGTCATCGGGCCCTTCATCGCGAGCCACGCGTAAGATTTTGCAATGTTCAAGCACGAACGTACAAGGAGAAGCAGACCGACGGAGACAAGAAACAACATATCAATACACCGATAAACAGCTTTGTGATTAAAATTGAATTCCGAATCACCATTATCTATGATGTACACCAATAATATGATTCAGTGAAGCTTCCGCGCGACGATCACCCGTGATCAAGCGTAACCAAAAACACTGCTACCAGCCCCGGCGTAAAGTACCCCGCAGCATTTTAAAGAAATTCACGAATACGTTGGTACGATCAAATGGTGGTCATTACGAATACGCAAACAGCCTAAGCCTGGCAGCCAGCAGACTAACGAGCTTATCATCGTCACGTTGCCCCAAGAGGTCATTATAAGCATACAATTGGTTGTGTTGCTTCCCAAATTGTGGTGAAGCTTGTCATCAAACGCCAGTTCCCATAACCAACTTTAACTCCTCACCCGTGAGATCAACCTTCATTTCAATGACTGAAGGTTCAGTTCCCGATGTTCGTTATCGTTGAAGATGCGGCCGATCGATACTGATATATCAGTTGGCAGAATATATCATAATATGACAGCAAGATTCATCGATGTCTCAGGTAATCGGGTTATATCATAACCATGCATGTCCATTTGCTAACAATCATTCTCGAATTGTTCTTCGTTCATCACCTTCAGTACGATGATGACGGCACTTACAAGCCAGGGTCATTACGTACCATTTATTACCGTAATCTCCATTCATACGTAACATGGGAATAAAGAATATTGGTTCATTCTTCATCGTAGTGACGCGAGCATCACGCCCCATGATTTATCGGTATCCGAAGCTCAAAGCTGGCATCAAGCACCAAGAAATTGAATATTCGCGAGAGAATTTTCAAGCGTTAGGAGTGACATGGATCACTGAAAGAAAGCCGTCCGGTGGCATCACCGTCCCCAAATATACTGGACAGATCAAACACGGCCCCCGATCAGCAGTACACCGACGTATGACGGGTCAAACACCAGCTGAATAAACAACGATCGAAAGCGGTGCGTACATAAACCACGATAGAGGTTCATTGATATAAGGGGAGAAATGAAGACGGCCGACCGACCAGATGCGAAGGGGCCAAAGACAAAGACCAAGAATGACCAACCCTGGTAACGGCGACAGAAGGTAGATGTCGTGATCACGCCTCGAAAGCGTAGTTCTGAATAAAGAAAGTTGTGGACTCGGCAGAGATCGTACAACATACCATTGAGAATACACGTCATCTCTGGGCGCGATTAATATCTACCGAATAAAAAATGAAACAGCAGGTGTCTCGGACACCTTCAGACTTCAATGCCAGAGACTGAAGCGCCCGGTAAGACTCCAGATTTCAGAGCACCACCCAGATCACAATATCCTCGCCGGAAGACCATCGTTCGGGTTCCCCATCGAGTCAGTATTAATCGCGCTTCATGGCCGCAATATTGCCGATGTCAACACGGGTCACCGGTTAACAAAATGCATGCAGCAAATCGTCATAAGCAACGGTAAACGATAGCCTAACAAACAAGTCAACGTCCTCATAACAACACAAATTGATACGCGAATACAGGTCCGCATGCTTAAATCAACGATCATCCAACCGACGAATACCCCCGCCATTCCCGTTAACTTATCAGTGCTAAAGCCCCGTGTCAATCTCAGCTGCAGCATTGTTCAGCCCAGCCAAGGGCGAATCATCGTTCGATTTGTCACCACCAACAAACAAACACAATAACGTCGAATAATCGTCAACGCGAAAACGAAGTTTTCGCCGATCTATCTACATTCACGTCGTAGTACATCACGCCAGTTCACTCGATCAATCACCATCCATAAAGCGAAGATCGCGGAAAGCGACAAAAACGTCAGAGAGATCAAGAGCTGGCCGACATGCCACAACGCCTTTACGGAAGATTTTGCCACCGTCGCCATAAGATGCAGTGAGGATCATTCCACCAGCACCGTAATCATTTGCAGATCATTTTTCACTGAAAATTATAATGAATGCCTTGGCGAATATTATTGCTCGATATGTCTTTATTTACAGTTGGCTGCTATTTAATGCGAAATGGAATTGCATTTCAGATCAGTTATCGGGGCTGCGATTCTCAACACCATTCATAAACTATTGCTCACAAATATTGGAGGTTTGTTTGGCATAATTTGAAATGCATTGAGGTTTGGATACGATCATGCAAATCAAATGCCCCGTAGTATGTTCAGTTTCATCAGATTTCAGTGCGATATATTACTGTTAGCGAAAGGGTTTTTCATGTTCGCATGCAGCCGTTCACACCGATTCCCGAGTAATGTCGGACCTTCGAAACATTGAAATATTTGCTTCGCATCATGCAGACCAAAGTATTGACGATCCTTTCTGAATAGTATCAAGGTTATTTCAACATTGAAGCCGGGCAAGTATGCATTGACGGGCCATAACATAAAACGATTCGAAGCGAGGTACGACTTCAGTTCTCGAGACGATTCAGCATTGAAGACTTTAGCGTTCGATAACCTTCTTCGCTAAAGAGACCGTAGTATTCGGTTGAAGCAGCCGAACTAATTAGCATCGTCAATCCATAACCAATTACGTGTACGCATGCTGTTTGAATTGGTTCAACAAACGGCGAGAAGTTGCTTCCACCGGTGTCGTTGTTGATGAAATATTCAGATCTCAGCACGGGGATCATATGTCTATAGCATCCTCGCTTTGAAACAGACGATATCAACGTAACATTAAACATAATGATGGCGTAGTTGAAGCAATCGCCTTTGAACGCTTCATAATCAACGGAAAGAATCATTAAGATGCCGTTAAATCAACGCTGACGAATCGATCAGCAGTATTAGTGCTATCCACGTCTCACCATCCGTCATTAAACCAGTTCAGATAAATATTCGCGAAAGACAATCCTTATGATTATATTGGTTCTGCCTGGTAATGCGGAAGACATTATTAAAAACCAACCCTGTGAATAAAACAGTCTGTCTCAGTTTGTTGAGCCCAACACTGGTCCCCAACACCTCAGCTGATCATTGAAATATCTTTGATAGAAATATGCCATCAAACATATCAAAGGTATGTTCGAAGATGGTTTTCGAGCGACATTTTGAAAGTTGGAAGTAAATTGAATAAAACGACGATTCCGTTTCATTAAAGCGCAATCGCGTAGATTTTGCATCGTTTTCAGCAGGTATGTATCGATGGTAGTATGTACGAATGGAAGAAAAGAAAAACATAGCTTGGTCGATGGGACTGGTTAAACAAGTTTTGTGAGTCAGTCAGTTCCTGAATCATCCATTACCCAGCGATAAAATATCATCATCGTCGCCGTTGAAGGCGCCGTTATGATCCGTATGATCGAAGCTTCCGTATCGGGTACCCTTCGTTCACAACTCTGCGTAAATTTCGCGCAATCTCAAGTTCACCTGAACAGCGCCAGCAACGACAGATGGTATCAATATTTGCGTTCCAACCAATCAACAACGCAAACCGACCGTTAATGACTTTAACAGCTTAATATCAAAGTCACATAAGAGGCGGCAGAAACAGAAAGTACAAATGGTTGCGTTACCCCAAATCAACACGTATGAAAGCTTCATGTCCGCAACATTAAAAGTCCGATAACCAAATCAATCAGCCTATCGCCAACTCGCAGAACCGATTCCTCGGGCATCGTCAACTCGATAAGTTATCATTGCATATTTTGGCCGACCGATCAGTTGCGAGTTAATAAATAACCATTATCATACCGCGGCAACAGATCAATAATCGGTTATGCGAAGACAAACGTTCATCTTCGTCAGCGCACCCCGCAACATTCAAGTCACAGCACGGCCAAGACAAGACCGCTATCGTTAGAACACGTCGTCGTATATCTGAATAAAGAACGGCGACGTCCATCGCCGGCCGTATATGCAATCGCCGTTCCGGTTCCGACCAAGCCGCCTCCACATCTCCGTTCATTGAAGATCAACCGTTCGTGAATACAAATTCCGTCACGATACGTCAGTCAAGCTACCCGAATCAACTGTGTCTTCACCAGTTACGGGTGTCACCGAAATATCGAATTATTTTCGTGCTGATCACCACATCAGCGATCAACCGTAAGATGTTGAAGAAAAGCGTCGCCCGGAAGTCAACACCGATATTATCATGAATTCATAGTCGGCGTCGTCAGACAATTATTGACAGCATCAATCGAGTCGACATTGTAATTTCGATGTAATTTCCGAAGCCCCTCATACCTGTTAAATATAGAACAAATAGCGATAAGTACTTTAAAACATAGAAGAGTTAAAGTTTGTATTCGAGCTTTATTTGAGCCATATATCGATGAAATCACCGACAGCAAAGGTTTGTATTGATTCGCCAAACATTGCGAACGAGGTATCCCGACCCGTTCCACCATCGATTTTATGCAGCCATAAGCGAATGGATCAGGGTTTAAAACATTGAATACTTTATGTTGCAATTCCAGGTGGGTTTGTCAATCTGAAAGTCATCACTGAAGCCAGGAAGTTTATCAACAGTTCGCCCATAGCAGCGTAGCGAAGTTGCTTCACAACATCGGCAACCCGCAACACATGTATCATCATTGTCTTCATTCATCATGTGTTTATCGCCTTCATTACAGAACCGATATTACCAGATATTATTAATAAAGCCAATCTATCGCCGAAATCACCATCGCAATAAAGAAGTTTATCACCATATCCAAAGTCGCCTTACATC